GGCCAGCGTGGGCATACACTGTTCTGTTCTTTCCCTTTGCACCATCTGATTTCGAATCAGCAATCGAAGCTGGCAACGATAATTTCGAGTTCACTCGGATTCAGTGATAGCAATTTTTTCGTATTTTTTGTGTTTAGATTAAAGTCCCCCAGTACGCGCAGCTGATGTTCTCCAATTTTGTTATGAAGCAGCATTACCTTATCGACGTGTGATTTATAGATAGCTTCCTTACTAGCAGGAGGAATATATGATGCGCATAAATAAACATCCCAGAAACACATTAGACTCGCACACAGTTGGTCCAATAAAGTCATTAAACTTCAGTACAATTAGCGACGCGTTGAGCTGACGGCGGGAAGTAATTTATACGCCTCCACCACTTCCGCAACCAGTCTTGGCCGGGTCACGATCATTGCAAAAGACATCATACAGCTTCAGTGTGGCTATTATCGCAGCGACAATTTTCGGATCGCTATCGCAAGTTGCCGACGTGTGTCATGAATGAGGTAAGGTTGAGATAGTGTTACGATATTTGTCTCTAACTCGTTTGAGAATAGCCGAAAAAAAGGAAAAGTTCGCACGACCACATTGCAGGACTCAATATTCTTTCATAAGAGGATAGTGGCAAACCCAACTTAAAATGTATTCTTTTTAAATATGATAATTCTTCACTAGCATATAGTACACTAATACATATTTACTCACACAAGCGTGTTTAGCAACGTATTCAATTATATTTTCTTCGGTTACAGTTGTTGCATAAGAAAGATGAAGCCATTTATATTAGACAACTATGTTAATCATTTGCACTAGTACCTACGACAAGCCGCTGAGTTAGCAGCAGGATTTATGGCCTAATCAGCATTAGCAGTATCCGCATCTGTATTAACCGGACGGACATTAATACGTAGGTTAACACCGTCAACTCTAAAAACCACAGAAAGCGATCGGATATTAGCATCTGCAGAAGCTGATACTAAATTATCAGTATTAACCCCAGGCTGCATAGCTGGTACCAAAGGAAGTGGATGTCGCAATAGTATCATAACATGTTTTAGCAGTAGCGGCTAACTGGATGGTACGAGTTGATCGCGAAGTATCGTAGGCAGAAGCAGCAGTAGACAAGTTTAAGTTGGATGTGTTAGTGAGAGCAGCACTATACATAGTTAGGAGTCGATCGCGAAATATTATAAGCAGAATCAATAGCTGACAAACCAATTTCGGATGAACTATTATTAACAGCGAATTTCGAAGCGTCACATACAGGAACAGCTGGAGAAGCAGCAGACGACAAAACCTTCTTGACATCAGAGCGAGAGCAGCCAGCAGAAGAAGCCCGCGATAATGACAAGAGAGCTTTACAAGATGCTTCACTAACAACACATTTGGATATGTTATCAAAGGTAAAATTGTAAGCATTAATCATACAAGAGCGTTAGGACATTCAACTCGGCCTTAAGTGAAGCAATCGCATCATCTTTTTCATGCATAACGCGCTGCTTAGAAATAATATCAGAGTGCATATTATAAATTTCTTCGCGCTGAGCAGTAATGGAATTGAGCATTCGGCTCGAAGAGAGACGATGACATTATACAAAGATCCCAGCGTTATTTGCCGCTGTTGGTTTTTAGCATCGTTTGCATTACTAGTATTGTTTTTGCGAAGTTACCGATTACGAATTAGCACTTTTAAGAGAGTCACTTTGCCTTTCATATAAAGGCAAGAGAGGCGAACGAATTGAGCATACTTTACAAAAAAAAAACCTCTATCAGAGTGGCAAGAAATTCTTCAATAGCGGGATGTATACCAACACAAGTTAAATGAAAAAGTTCATTGCACTCAATGCACTGAATCGTTTGCTGACGCCGACCAACCTTTTGATCACCTATGCACGGCATTTTTGATTACGTCAAACCAATGATTTTTATGTAATCGCAAGAGTCACTTTCTCATTTATTAAGCGGGGAAATAAGAATCAAAAATTTTGTACGCCCAAGGATGATAGACATTTTATTTTATTATATTATATATTATTTATAAATGAATTATATTCTTATAAATCATATGTTTTGAGTCATATGTTCTTGAGGAAAATACACCCAAGAATAATGGAATACAAGATTCCGCCAATCGAGCTGAGAGGAACTGAGTGACGTCACATTATTATTAGAATGAGAGTGAAAAGATTAATTTTGAAGAAGAGGAAGAAGCAAACAAGTGATGCGAAATGGTGGTGTAAAACTAGGTTGAATTGTACCCACTCTTCAGCTTCTTAAATTTGAATAGACATTCGGAACAATCACATTATTTAAGGTACATTTGGAACGTAATAAAATATTGTTTAATATAAACCCAAAAGTTGTTATGGCACAGAAGGAAGATGTAGTCCACCAACTATCACAAATATATGCACATAAAAGTACATGTTTACTGTTTAGGTATGTGAATCTACTTTTAGGAACAACTTTTCAGCAAATAGGTACAATATAAATATTTAATATTCATCACTAGTGCGAAAAAATAATTATGTGACGTCAGCGGAAGGGTGGATGCTGTCTGTTTAGCTGAGGGAGAGCGGGAGACCAGGTTTAAAGGCGACCATATATATTAATTGGGGGACTCCATTGGAGGAGTCGTGCTCTAGCTGCCGTAGGCTGCTGTGCAATGAGCTGGGATTTATTTGGGGGGACTCCATTGGAGGAGTCATGCTCTAGCTGCCGTAGGCTGCTGTGGAAATGAGCTGGGGCGACTCCACTGGAGGAGTCATGCTCTAGCTGCAAAGGCTGCTGTGCAATGAGCAGAGGATTTATTTGAGGATGCATTCATGCAGAGCCCCAGTGTGGCTTGTAAGCCGGAGCTTACTACCATACCAAAAAGTACTCCGGGAGTGGAGTGGGAGCGATGCTCAAAGCACCGCGTGATAGCCAAGCTAGTTAAGCGTTGACCATCGTGATGAGCCAAGCTGGTTTAGCGTTGACCATCGTGATGAGCCAAGCTGGTTTAGCGTTGACCATGCTGAAAATGCCAGCGACTTATCACTTCACTAAGTTCAGCGAAGAGATATTTGAGAATTGCATAAAAAATGCATACCCAATTAAGAACGAGCGAAATACTTTTAAACACAAGTGCGTGTGTGTGTTCGCTGTACTTGGTTTATGCGGGAATGCAATATAAATGCGTGTGGGTTTTCGCTGTTCTTTGTTTATGCGGGAAATGCATAAGTCGCTTAAACACTGTCAAATCGAGAAAGAGTAGGTAATTTGAAAATTTCAAAATTACATTTCTCGACTGAAAAATAAGATATTCGAGCTAACTCGACGACACACAGTGTGCTTTTTTAACACTTCATGCGAATTAATCGTAGCACTTTCGACAGAAGCAATATTTTGATATGAAGCAAAATGGCTTAGAAAGCTAATGTAATTACCTTTCACGGAAAATTATTGCCATAGAGCCACAATTACTCCTTTACCTTAAAAAAATTGGTCAAAAATAGTGTTCTTCGAAAAAAACATGCAAAATCCAACGAATACATATATTAAAAAAAAGACATTTTTGTATTTTTTATTATACTAATATTATAGAGTTTGAAACGAGAAACACGATGCAACCCCTCAATTTGAAAAATGTCCATCCTTCACACAATTTTATATCCCTCGAATAACAAATGAGTTTTAGTGCTATTAAAGACCTTTAATTTAAGCCAAGGTAGAAGTCTCTAGGGCCTTTGAGAACTAGATTATTACAATTCTGAAGTTAAACTTCGAAATTTCATTCGACATTTTACGCAATTTTTTTTCTAATTTCGGAGTAAAAACTAGTACAGCAGTTTCGAAGTTTGGTTTAAAATCGTTATAACTTGGCGCTCAGAGGGCCTAGAGACATAAATTAAAGGTCTTGAATTGCACTAAAACGCATTGTTTGAGGGATATAAAATTGTGTGAAGGATTCACAGCTGCATGCAAATAGAAAAACTGCAATAAATAATGTATTTTTTAAATTACGGTGTTCAGATTTTTTTCGAATTTTGAACAGTGGAATGTGGTGGTTGTTGTAGCGGCTACTAAGCCCCGCTCGGGTCGGTTCATCCGTAAACGTTGTCGTCCATTTCAGCTAGGGGGAGGAAGTGTGCGACTTCCACAGGGTCTGTGCATAGGGACAAGGGCGTCAGCTGAGTGGGGTTCTCAGGGCATGTGAGGAGGTGCCGAGAGACATGTGGCGACTCTCCACAAGCCGGGCATTGGTTGGGCACATCCTCATTGATTCTGCTCAGGTAAGAGTTTAGCCTGCTGCAATAGCCAGAGCGAAGTTGTGCAGTGGAATCGTGTTGGTCGTCTCAAAATCTATAAGACTAGTATAATGAAAAATACAAGAATTTTTTCCCCTATTTCCCCATGTAGATCCGTCCCAGCATTAACAAACAAGTTATTGAAATCGGATTGCAATTAAAAAAATATGAAAAACTCGATTTGACTGTTTTAGCGACTCGATATTTTTTGTGTCATCAACATTATCTTGAAGTAAGCTTTCAAGCTGTTTGGGGTAATAACCTAACCTAATAATAATAATAATAATAATAATAATAATAATAATAATAATAATAATAATAATAATAATAATAATAATAATAATAATAGATTGGCGCTTACACATATGTTAGTGTTTGGCCGAGCTTCTCCTCCGATTTTTGGCGTGCGCCTTGATGTTGTCACACAAAGTGGAGGGACCTACAGTTTTATGCCGACTCCGAACGGCGATTGTATTTTTATAAGAAGCTGTTTTTCATGGCAGAAATACACTCGAAGGGGTGCCATTGCCTGCCGAGGGACGACCGCTGTTAAGAAAAAAACTTTTTTCTATATTTTTTTGCGATGTTGCTTTGACCAGGGTTTGAACCCAGGCGTTGCGGAGTGGAATCGCGCACTGCTTACTACTACACCACAGCGGTCGCAGCCAAGCCTAATGCACAAATAAGTATGTGCGAAAAAAATTAACTTACCCATCATGGTTATTGTGAAAGGCCAGTACGATTGAAGGGCTTGAATAGGCGTTACTTGTAACCCATGTACAATGAACTGCAAACATCATGAGCATCATTAAGACGGCAAGAATAATGACACTTTTAAGATTAGAACCAATTCCGCGTGCCTCATGTTGTATATCATGTTTTGGACGAAACTTTATTTTTCCAGCCTGAAAATACCAGAAAATTGTTTAAAAAAAAATTATTTTCGTAGTCGACGTACTATAAAATATGTAATAAGGACTGGGACAAATAAAATTGTCCGCTTCGAAAATGGTATGATTTGAACCAGTTGGAAGATTTTCAAAAAGGCTAGCATTTTATTTTTAGAATATCACATAAAATGGCAAAATATTAGAACTATTATGTTATAAAAAGTTTTAATTTTGCAACAGCGCCGCTCACTAGCGTTTTTACAATAGCGTCTGACACCATCAGAGCTTCTGAAGACCACTTTTTGAAGTAAAAACTTCATTGGTGCCGTTGGCAAGTGGTTCAAAACTTGAAAAACGGGTGAATATTTTTCAGAGCTTTTTTAATATTTATTGTGTAACGCAATGTCTAAAGATTGTACATCATGGCCTCCATTCGCCTTCCAGCAGCTGCGTAGTCGACTTGACCACTCATCGATTTCGCTACGCTTGACCCCTCAATGATTGTATTTAAAAGGTGATTTTTTGTTAACATCGATTGCAGAATTACGCACTCCATGCAATGGCAAATTTTCCACTACTCGGACAAGGGTACGCTTCAAAGAATCAACACTAGGATGTCGATTAGTGCAGCCATGACCTTTAGAATGGACCTTAACATTATATTAGCTTAACTTATAGTCCAATCGATTGATGGCCAGCCATCAATTAATACAGTTGGTATATAACAAGTAATTTTTAGTTAAAAAACAAAACCGACTTCAATTCTTATATAAAAATGTAAGATTATTGTTAATTTCTACATGATCCGATGATCGGATTGAAACCAAATTTATATGGGACCAGCTGTGAGATAACGCCTTCCGTTAACGTGGCCCAAAGTTATGCGGTAACATACATAAAAAAAAAAAAAATCCGATGAGTTGATAACCTTTCTCCTTTTTGTGAAGTCGGTTAAAAAGACAGATGGAAAGACGCTTAGATATCACGTCCACGGGTTATCTGGGTATACATGGCGTTAAGTGCTGCTGTGTTGTACATTTTACGGAACCCATGCTGATGCCTCACTGGCGGTTTAGATAGTGCGGGAATAGAAGGCCCCAAGTGTCTTCGCTACCGGGAAAAGGAGAGTTATCGGGCGATAGGACTCTCCTTTGTTGGACGGTTTCTCCGGAGGATGCAGTATGAACTGTCGGCTAAAATAGCTCGCGCATCGCTCCGGGTCCGACGAAGCGTGGTCTCGAAAATTTATTTCAACTCTGTTGTTGTTGTTGCAGCGGCTACAACAACCCCGCCCAGATCGGTTGGTATCTCAGTCGTTGTCGTCAAGCTCAACTAACGGAAGACCCAAGAAGCGTGTAGCCCCTATAGGGTCTGTCCACAGGGACAGAGGCGTCATTTGCGTTGGGTTTTCCGGGCATACGAAGACATGTTTCGAGTCGTGGGGTGCCTCTCTGCAATCCGGACATTCGTTTGACGCATCTGCATCTAATCTACTCAGGTATGAGTTCAACCTGCTGCAGTAGCCAGAGCGAAGTTGGGCTATTGTGGTCTGTGTCTCCCGAGGCTGACGAAGCTCGCCTCGTCTATGTCAGGTGGTTTTCTGCGCGGGGGTCTATTTCATAAAGCGACAGTGATAATTTTGAAACGACAGGTATTTTCCATGCTGTCAGTGACATTTCGACAGTTTGGTGGGTGTTTTGTTTCATAAAAATAATTGTTACAACCTAAACAATTCCATTGAAAAAGTGACAAATTGTCATTGTCGGGGTTTAAAATTATCGTTGACATAATTGTCGCCAGCCAGTGAAATTTATATGTAAATCATATGTAATAGTTGCTTTCCGATGGAACTATTTGGTTTTGTCGCTATTGTCGCGACAATTTTATCAGAGTGACAATTGTCAGCACAATTGTCGACAATATTCCATAATAACACTGTCGTTTTCCAAAAATTTTTACAGTTGCTTACAAGCGTATATGAATTAGAAAACATGTCGGCGACAATTCTGGCAGTGAAATTTTATAGAAAAATCGACAATTGTCGCACCAGTCACTTTAATGAAATAGGCCCCAGGAGGTCATTCACAGGTCTGGAATACACGTAACTTGAGACTGACTCCCTGTGAATACCGCTCAGGGCCTGTCGATATGCTGACGGGTCCAGAGGATGCTTTATGAACCTCTCGACTTCGTCCGTCAGTTCGTAAAGATGCCTTCTGACATACCTTGGCCAGGGCTCCTCTGCAAGCAGATGTCTGTTCGAGTGTCCACGTCTGTGGCTCACTAAGAATTGCTTGCAGAGCATTGTGGTGTGCTCCTTTATGGGGAGCATTTTCGCCTCGTCGTGTAGGTGGTGTTCTGGCGACATCAGAACGAATCCCGTCGCTGTCCGTAGTGCAGTGTCTTATGCAGTCTGTAGCTTCATCCACTGGTCCCCGGCCAATTGCCTTGTATGTTACCAGCAACGTTTCTTTGTATTTGTCCCCAGGTACTGCAGACTAGTGACTTGAGGACCTTGTTGCGGCTCCGGGGGTTCTACTCTCTATTTTGCAATTCGAAAAGCAATGCTATTAGCAGACCAAATGCGATGCTAAAGAAAAATGGCACTCTGGCGTTCAAAATGAGTGTGGCAGACGAAATGGACGCGAAGAGGTATTTCAGGCAAAAATTTCGTCCTGCAACAATTGAAGCGATAGATGGAACCCATATTCAAATAGTGCGGCCTGCTGTAAATGAACATTTGTACTTCAATAGGAAACTGAAGCACAGTGTAAATGCCATGGTTGTGAGTAGTTGCATGAAACACTTATGCAAATATGTATATTTATATATGACCATATGATTAACTATTGCAGATATGTGATCACAGAATGATTGTAAGGGCAGTTGATGCTCGTTTTGGAGGTGCATGCCACGATTCACATGTGTGGAATGTATCCCATGAGAGCCGCTTGAAAGCGGCGATAGAGCCACACGCCTAATAGGTTGGTTTATTTTGCTGCTCTTTTTTATATATGTATTAATTTTGTGATTGTTTCTTTTATATTTCATTGAAAGAGACTCGGGATATCCCTTTGAAGCCTGGTTGTTAACACCGTACAGAACCGTGAATGCACTCTGCGGAAGCTAAATTTAATAAGAAACATTCTCAAGCGAGGTCGATTAGTGCTGAAGGTGAAGGTTTCGATGCCTATTAGCTGCAAGGGAGTTGCATTTCACACAGGAAAAAGATACCAGAATAATGAACGTATGTTGCGCCCTGCACAGTATTTGCATTCTTTTTAATGTCGAACAACCTTCGATCGCACAAAATGAAGATGAAGATTCATTGCCTTCAATTGCATCAACATCTGACGACATCTCTACAAATCTAGCTTCGTTTGCGCGAAATATAGGGGAAGAAATAAAAAATAATTTAACATAGATTTGGAATTGTATTTAAAAAATTCAATTCATATCACTATACAAACAAAAACATGTCTTGACTAGTATTACATACAGAAAAATAAATAGTAATTCACAACAAATAAATATAGTAGTCTAAAATCTTTCTTTTACACATAAGTTATGAGGTCATCAGTCTTTTTCACAGTTAAGTTACAAAAAGAATAAGTACATGCCAATTAACAGTTAAGTTACATAAATAATAAGTGACAAAAAATTAACTGACAATAAAATAATATGTGAGTTACAAAACTAATCTTTAAGACCAACTAATTTGGAGCATTTCCTTTTTTATGTTTAGCTTCTCGCCCTTAAGTTTGAGGTTTTCAATATTAATCTTCTGCTCGTGCTCAAATTTTAGCGTAAGTAATTTATATTTATTTTCTTCAATATCTCTCGTTTTTCTTAAAATTCTGTTATGTGTTTCATTGAATTTGTCAAAAGAATTCTCTTGGTAGAGTGTTTGATTCTCCACTTGCTTCTTCAAGAGCTGATCGTGTCCAACTGGATTCGTTGCAGACCGACGACGTGGTGTCACTGGGTTCGGCACGAAACTTTCATCATTCACCAGATTACTTGTGTCTACAGTTCCAGATGTTTCATCCACTGACATGTTGTGATCCACACCACAATCAACGGAACCAAACCTGCCGGAGTTACTACTGCCATTCACCGCCTCATCAATAGACATTAACTGAATCACTCTTTCTTCCACTGGTGTGAAATGTTGATACCTAGCCGGTCCACCACCCGTATCGGAAATACTTTGCTTTTTCCTTCGCATTTTGGCTTTGAGATGGTTCTTATAGTCAGCCCAAAGCTACACTTCTGTGCTATAACTTCCAAATTGCTACTAATAAGTATATATTGCCTACCTTTTTCCGCCCAGCCACATCACGCGTAGGTTGTCCGTAACTATTGAAGTCCTCCATTAACCGCTTCCACAAACTGTTGGCACTTGCTTTGGCATTTGAAGCCTTTAAGTGCCCTTTGGCCAACTGCGGATGTTCCTCTATAAAATCCACCATTAATTCGAACTGCGCAAGTTTTCCGTGCGCCGTTTTTTTTGTTGGATTCCCTGCAAAACTTTTTTTTATCATTATTTTTTTATCAAAATAATAAATTATTTTGATTACTTACATTTTCGCTTGATTTGCGTGTGCTAGGTAGTTGTCGAATAAAATTTGCCACTTTCGAAAGCTTTTGACATTTCATTTCGTGGTAAAGAGTGCCACAAATGCGAAAACGCAAAAAAGCGAAAAAAAGAAATTCGAAGATCGGTTTTACAGAGTGTCAAATGTACGAATTCTGATATTTTGCTTTTAGAATCGCAATAGAGTAGACCCCCAGTACTTTGTTGACAAATGCGGTTGTGTGCGCAGAGAAAGAGAGCATACTGTCGAATGTTACTCCGAGTATTTTAGGGTTATTCGCAGTCGGAACTGGTTCGTCATCGACGTGAATTCCCACTTGTAGTCTGACCTCCTTCGTATAGGTGGTGAACAGGGTCGCAGACGATTTTGTAGGGGAGAAGGTTAGGCTCCTAGCAATGAACAAGCGAGAAAGCTCGG